TCGTAATAGAGCCACAATTATCTCGTGTTTGTTATAGAGTTATACAACATAAAGGCCAACAACAGCACAACAAATTTACTCCATGTCAAGTGTTTGCAAACGTTTTTCGTGTAAACGGCATTCCCTACACTCTAAGATGTTCCGTCATTTTTCCTTATTTTGTTTCTAACTGGCGAGTCTCTCTTACTGACAAATGTTGTTTAATTACAACGCCAATGACAGGCTCGGTCGTTCTTTATTTTCATACAACTTCATATTTGACAGAGTCTTCGGTGAATGCTATTCATGAGGACACTTTGCGTCGAATATCACCAATAAGGTTCGTTCATTCCAGTAAATATGACAGATATTATACTCACCTGGTTTTCTATGATTTCATGTGCGTCTGTTTGTTCCGCTTTCACGTAAAACACATAAACTGTATCCTGTGTTCGCGTAGACACGTGATCAAGTTCCTTCAGAGCTTGAGCGAATCCGCTGGACGTGGAATTCAGTGCAAGCAGGCTCGCGTCCTCGAATGGACGCAATGGATTACCCTACAAAAGAAAGAAAGAAAGATATATCACAAAATGCATCAAGTCAAGGGAGAAGGCTATAGTCTCAGACAAAAATAGTTGGGACACTTCCACCCAGTGCTGTTTTTACTTCTGGCCCGTCTCCTTGTCCTCCCAATGTTGTTCATCGCAGTTAACTCACCAAATATTGCACACCAGCATTGGGAGGGTAAGAATACAGTGAAGCGTCCCAACAATTTTGACTGTAAATTAGCACGGTGCGCCAAAACCTATATTTAGTTCGGACATGTAAACCTTTGAAATGACTTGTCCGTGGGACAAGCACATTTTTAATTAGAAAAAATACAGAAACAGTTGAAATTTGACTTCAAATTACCGTAGCATTAAAATTTACCTTATAGTCATAAAAGCAGACCTATTACTTGACAAAATGAGGTTAAGTATTCCTTTTAACTTTGCTATACCGCGACCATTTCATTTGTTTTTACGAGCTCCATTTGGCTTAGGAACCTAGCAAAACGTTTTGGATAAGAACGCTTGGGTATTGGACAACCAAATTTTATATAGTGCTTGTCCGAAGGACACGTAGATAAGAAAATTTTTCTCTTACTCTGGACTGTACATAACGTGCAATATTGAACAAAAATGTTGAGAAAAATGGACTTTCCCATGTCTAGTTTCAAGATAAAGCTCTTGAAAGCACTGGTAACTTGCGTGCGCATAATCGGGACACTGTCCCTTTAAGTTAACTGATTTGAGGAATACAAAATTATTGTTTGATTTAAGTTATAAATTTATTAATGGGAGCTTCGCTTTTAGCTGTGGCTAAATCTATATATTACACTTTATCTGTCTCTTTAATATTTCCTGGCAGTCCCCTGGATTCACATCCCTGAAATCAATTCATCCTAATGTCATTTCCCAATCCGTTTCAATGGATAGCAATTTATCCTTTTTTTTTTAAGTCAACATTTGTTAATTTCAGATTTCGTTTTTGCCTTTTATTTGCAGATTCCACCTCCAAGCTGTGCTTGAAAGATCTAAGTAAGGAATTGACTGAGGAACTAACGTCCAAGCTTAATAGGAACAAAGATATTCTAAACCGATTTTACCGTTCATTTGGGCTTGATCCTGATTTACTGCACGACCAACTGGACCAGAGAAACATTGGAAAAATTTTTCCCGATACCCCAGTCAAGCTGCTAAAGGAAGTTTTTGAGGCCCTAAAACTGTATGACTTTGCAGAATTCTTAGAGAAAGCAACAAAACCACGGACACTTCGCCCTGCTCTTCCGCTAAAAGAAATTGAAAAATTATCGATTGTCAGTAACCGCCCAACAAAGGTTTACAGTAAAGCAAAGGTTTTAATAGTCGATTTCTGTGAAGCCTGTGAAACCTCCGCAGACAATGATGTAGGAAAAGCTGGATCATTTTTTAAAGCGCAGAATTCACGGAACGAGGTTACCACATTAAAGACTGTTTTTTTAAAGGAATTGTTCGCAGATCTTAATGACCTAACGAGAGGCATGAGAAAAGAAGAGAGAAATGACAGTATGGCAGAGATGAGGGAAGGGCACTTGCAATGGCTTCTGGAATACAAGATCCCAGAGAGTTGGATCAAATCAAAAACGAAAGAAGAGATCACGAAAACTTGGGGTGAATTTGACATTCCGGATGAGGTTTACTTGGAACAAGAAATTAAAATAAGCGAACGGCTCCAACTGATGGGACGTTTTAATCCCCAGAAAGATGAGCAACTATTAACTTTGTTTTCCAAAGAGGAGCCTGGGATGAGAAATGAACTAAAACAGCTGACGGAAAAAAGAGAACAATGGAAAACCGAAAGGAAGCCAATACTCGAGAAGCAGAAAAAGGAGAAGGTGGAGGAACTGAAAAAAGAGGCTGACAAATTTGAAATGGCTGTTTTCAGCGTCATCGACAAATGGATAGAACTACACCCAAATGATAAAGGTTCGATATCATACCCCTTGTAACATCCATTCAGCAACGTTCCAAACTATTTTAAGTCCTGTTTAGCCATGCATCCACACACTGTTCGATATAAGTTGAACAGAAGTTATAACAGTTACTATAGAGAGTTTAAGATTCACGTTTACGCCAAACGGCAGATGGGAACTTGTACCACGTGACCAAGTTTCCCCCATATTTTCCGTTTACTCTTACTGCTTCGACACAAAAATAGGTACTTTCATGCCAGTTTTAACCATAGGAATCGTTCGGGACTGTTTTTATCTGCTTACTTTATATTCTGAGAAATTCTCAAATTGAATCTCTAATAAGTCAAAGCTGAACCTTCGGCACCCTGGTACACTCTTGTGCACCCTGCGACACTCTGATTATTATAATTAATTCAAGTAAAAAGTCAATTTATAGCTGCTCTTAATCTTCTTCCTCTTTCAAAAAGCTTAAAATTGGCAAGAAATAATATCCGAAACTCATTAGAATTCTCAGCGCGGCCTAACTTTATTTATGGCTGTTATAAAAATGTGATTGACAATAGACTTTTTAAGAAAAAAAAAATGTCTTTTTTGGTTTTTGTAGGAAAGGCGTCGACCCTTTTTATCGTCCTTATTCAGAATAGCCTGAGATTGGAGCGAACGCGTGGTGCAGTTCTACAACAGATGATTATCAGCATAAACAGATGCTTGAGTGAAAAACTGGCACTTATTCCAGACACGAAGGTAGTGATAACAAATAATATGCCACCTATAAGGGAAGGGAACATTTCAAGCGAAACTCTTGAAGTTCATTTGTCTGGAAAAGGAGTGTTAACGACATTGCTGCAGCTTCTGAGCAAGCGCTTAGATACACTAGACCTCATTTCAGTAATGCAGGAATTACAGAGGACGGCCCCTCAAACAAACCCTCGTTACTACTACAACAGGTACCATGACGTTGATTATACGCGGGTTCAAATACGTGACAATTTGTCGAGCGTTCCGAGACTTCAGAAGATGGAATAAGTCTCGTAGCTAAGCCGTAGTCTACTCGAATAAAGTACTCCCCTTCTTATATTCCCCTTCGGTCCCAGCCTTCCTCCGTCCCAATTAAAAATCTCTCGCGCATCCAACCCTCTTCAGATCCACTATTTGAGGTGCGTCTGCTATAGCTGAATAAGCAAGCCATCTACCGCATTGGGAAATTGGGTGTGTAAACATGGCTACTGACAGAATCTATTAATAGTCAATTGAGAGAGTGAGTGCGAGGTGACGCGCAAATGCGCTACGGCATTACCCGCCCCGCCAAAGTACAAGCTAACGTATTGTCGCTGGTCTTATTTCAGTTTGATACTAAAAAGGTCAAATTTCAACTGTGGACTGTACTGTCCTAAATCATACCCATTACAATTTCCTCAAATTTGATTGTTGCATTAACAGCTTTATCTTTCACTAATGATTGTGTAGGGTTGTAATCGGACAGTGTAATTGGACAGTTGGCTGTATCGGACACCTGCAATCGGACAGTTACAATAGTCAAATAAATCCACCAATCACAGAAGTTATCACAATAACCATAGCAACAACCGCACTTACCCCACCAAACTGGGGATTTTCCAAAATGGACGAATTTGTGACATTAGACAGTGTCTCCGCCAGTGATATTTTCCCTAGTTTTGGACATTTGGTATTCAAATGCTCTTTCACCAAAAAACAAGCATTTATTTTCTCGGAAATTTTAACGGTTATGATTAATTGCTAACAGGACTTCGTGTCGTCCAATTCGGTCTGTAATCACACACGTGATTAAACAAATCGGACTCCCGCTTCGCGGTCGTCAAATTTTGTTAATCACTCGTATGATTACAGACCGAATTGGACTTCACTCAGCCCTATTACCATTATTAATTTTGTTGTTACACATAATTATGGAGAATAGAAAGAAACATTTGGTATAAATAGCCGTAACAAGGAGAGTGAAAGGACTATAACGAGTTTGTATACGCAGTTGCAATTTAAAGTAAGTGTTATTTAAGAGACCCGGGACCTCTGTGTCCCGGGTAATATGACTTGTTTTTTGAAAACATGGCCTGCAATTTTTTGTCTTATTGAGACATAGGATGACTGAACAGTCACACGCGGTAAAAGGAAAAAAAACATACACCCAAATGGACAAAGCAACGGCCAAAAGCGTTCCACAGATAATTGACCTACTAGAGAGAAAATTAGCACAAAGCACTGAAATATACCTTGGTGTCTCAGCATCTGGTTTATAGGTTTATAATTCGAACTTGAAACTAATCAAGTCAATGTTTTAATCACTTGTTTTGCATCTTTGATGCAGCAGACGAGTTTTACTTTTTTTTTAAAGAGCGACAGTGTCGTTAACCTCATTATCGAGCCTTAGCTCGTCCACACTTGGTGTCCAAACACTATTGCCTGACTCCTGGCACAAATGTGTTCACACCTTGAGTACCCGGTATGTAACTATGTCCTCACTCGATCGATTTCGCCTTGTCGGAAGCGTAGCAGGGAGTGCACCAGTCCACGCAAATACTCAGAAAACGTGTGCACACACCGGTACCGTGTCCGAATTTTGGCGTGGGTTCTTAAGTGGGTGTGTCTATATTAATACTCAGTGAATACCATACTTGGGTAGCGTGCACGGGCATTGAATGTTCAAGCTGGTTTGAATAATTGTCAACTAATTTGTGTAGCAACCATGCTGGGAAATAGCCAAGGATTAATAAAACATAAAAGTAAAAAAAAAAAGTTGCGTCGAAATTGTTTGAGATTTTTGCAGTTGGCAAGAAAGCCAGTTAAAAGCAGCATGGTAAAGGTAATTACCTCACTTACAATTTACACAAGGCCTGTACTGATCACTTCCTCCGGTCATTGGTGACTGTTGTGAGATGACGATGATGACGATAATGATGGACATAACAGTACTAGAAATATAGCGGTCGCATATAAGTAAAATACTGAGCCAACTTTTTTAAAAATGCAATTGTGCAAAAAAAAAAAAATTTGACTCAAAACTGCTTACCTTTTTTCTGCTGTGTAATAGGAGTTATCACTGCATTTACTATTATCATAAAATTCAGATATAAGGCGCCCTCTGGTTAGTTAAAAAAGCGTGCTTTACGGGAGCCAGTATAAAAAACGGAGCGCGAGCCCAAGCTGTCACTCCATCTGCCAATAGTTTGTTTAGAAAATTAGAAAGCAATGCGTGGGAAATTTAAAAGAGTCCTTAAGAAAGAAAAAGGCCTTGACCTTGTTCTGATCTAAAGCACATAAGAGGCAGCTACAGCACTCAAGAAGTAGAGAGAAACACTCGAATACGTCTTTTGTTTTCCCATACACTTCTTTCGTCTTCGTGTTCTTCTTTTCATGATCAGAACACAGTCAAGGCAGCTATATTTGTTAATCAAGCAACGTACTTTTCACTGACAATAAACAGTCTGTATAGTAGTATAACTCATGTAAACCTTAATTCCTAGAGTAAAGTTGCAACTAAAACACTTTGGTAACGTTTAAAATTTGAGATTTGAGATGCACTTCAAACTAATGAAAGTTATTTATCGCTCTTTATATGTTGTACAAGTACCTTAGTGTACAAGTGAAGTCTTTCCATGTAGCTGAATTTTGTATTTATACATTAAAATTGAGAAATTGTAAAGTTTCAACTTTGAAAATATGTCTGCAATTTACTTCGCATCATTGGAAAAGAGCGATACGTAAAAATCAGGAACAGATCGTTCATGACGATATTTCTTGACGATATCTTGAATCTTGAGTTTACGACAAACTTGAGGAGGGGAATACCTGTAAGCGTTAAAATAAAAGGTCAAAAGAGGCCGTTTCGTCATCAGCGCCGGTGAAGGAAAAGATGCAACAAGTGCAAACTGCGCGAAAAAGGTTTAACCGCTACTAAGCGCGGGAAAAATGAAATGCGCGGGGAAATGATCGTGATTCATTTTCAGTTTTTAATGTATTTAACAAGAGAAGGAGTCTTTCAGGGTCTTCAATCGCTATCACCGCACCTCCCAGTAGCAGACGAGATTTCAAAACTGTCTTCGAAGTATCTGAGTGGATAACGGATAGCACACTCTTTCGAGAGTACGACTTAGCAGTTTTCATGATTAAAAATGAAAAGATGAAAAAAAAAAAAAAATCGAGCGCTTCACGTTAACGAGGTTGTCTTCAGTTTCCGAACCTCTTACCGTGCACTAGTTGTCGTGATTTTCTCTGGTATCTTAACGAATTATTAGCTAGTAATAAGATGAGAGGGAGAAGAAGACGACGCCCGACAACCGCAATATTTTTACTCCCATGGCATTACCTCCACTCCCTGAACAAGTTGTCAGTAAAGGCAATTAGAACCAAGCGAGAGTGGGAATCACCCATTTTGTGGGTGTGAATAAAAAGTATTTTCTCCCTTTTTCCTTAAAGAAAGTTTCAAAGAAGCTACAGAACACAGCAAACAAAGTTCCAACTTAGATAGGGTAAGGCAACTTTAACACTCTCAAAAGAAACATCACTTACGAGTCAATTTCCAGTCTGCGCCTACGGCATATATTGATAGCGGTCTGCCGTACCATGGTGCCCAGTGTCCTGCGGCTCACTACCATACCGTCCACCAAGGGCCCACCGATAGGGGACCTAAAAAATGACCAATTGTCTTTAGACTTTGGCGGGCTGGCAAAAACACTCAAAGTTAACAAACACGATTGAATAATGTAGGCCCTATGAATAATATCACGGTATTTTGCCAGGCTGTCGTCCTTAAGAAAAACTTACAAAGTAAAAGTAAAAAAGAGATAAGACTGATGTACCTGATTGTGGACCTGATATGGATGCGGTATAGCCCACTTCTCAGGTGATGTACAAAAATAACCACGGTGTCTTTCTCACGCAAGCTGTGTCCCACATTCTGACTGAGATCAAATTCCATCAGCAGCTCGTCCACAGGGAACCGGGCATGATCTTCAAACCGCTCGAGCCAGGCCACCACTACGTTTGTCTCGGACGAGGTGTTGTGCGTGCTCAACTTGGACAGAGGTCGACTCTCTAGTGAGAGTTCGTTACCAAGACGCGACATGGCACGGTTCTGAAACCAGAGAGAGCGTCTTGGCGTTGACTTAAACGATAATAACCCTTTCACCGCGACAGGACTTGTTCAGTCGGTAGAACGCTTGACTGCAGGGCGGGAGGTCAGGGGTTCTATCCCCGGGACCGGACAAGCTCTCAGGGTCATAAAATAACTAAGCAATAAAGATACTGTCTTTGCCCTGCAGACGGCCAGACCTTCACGTGGCTTGGATGGCCACGTTAAATGGCGGTCCCGTCTCCATTGGGAGACGTAAACATAGTGGTGTCCTAAGTTATTAATAGTTTTATGCTAAATGCATTCACACTCAAAATAATAAAGTGCGATTTTTTTGTTTTTGTCCAAGGAGCAAAAGTGCCAGTGGTTGGTATATTACGTTAATGCGAATTATCGCTATTGGCTTCGCGGATAATTGACTTTAACTTTAAAATAATACTAGCATCAGCTAAACTGTTTACAAAACTTTCTGTTACTTTATGGACAGAGCAAGTCCTTAACTTCGCCCCGCTTTTTGGAAGGAAATTTCGTTTATATAAATTATTTTTGCCGCTTAATATAATGTAATGGAATGACACTGATAATGGGCCATTTGCAGGATGGCGTCATTTTACGACTACGACACGAATCCCTCAGGGTTTTGCTTTCTTGTGCAAATAAGTGCTTTTGTTTTGTAAACCTCGCTGGGATTACCAAATTTAAATCTGAAAGGAAAAACGTAAAGGATTCTGGTCGTAGTAGTAAAATGACGCCATGGCGCAAATGCAAATGGCGTATTAATTTCCTCCCCATTGCTTCTTTCTACAATGACAGGTAGTCTATATAAGTAAGGTAAAGTATCACTGGCTCTCATATACCTCGTGTATAGTCATCCCTTCGGAGGCTTGACGGGATATCTTGCTTTTGATATCCAATTGGC